ATCTGGGGGGTGGATGATTCGCATCTAGAGGGTCGAGTACCCGAAACCAGGACAGACAGTTCGCCCAACGTGCAAAACAGCCAGAGGGCAAAATGTGATGATCTCGCAATCGAGGAGGAGGAGAAGGAGGAGATGGAAAGGAAAATCGCTGCCATTACGGCCACTATCAAAGACTCCCCCCTCACAACCAACGGAGGGTGTGGTAATGCCGTTCAGCGGGACCAGTACACGGCCTTCACACCTCTAGCTTCCACATACTGGGTAGAGCACACGTCCACGGGTTTTCGGCACGCGATCTGGAAGATGGAGACCTTAACCATATCGTATTGATCTCCATCAGGGCACTCCAGTTCTTGGGGAATGTCACGGATGCACAAGTAAAGGAGCGTAGGACACAGGTACTGAAGGGGAAACTAAAGTTCTCTGGAAGAGCTCAGAGATAAGAACGTGGCCAGGAACACAGTTCAGATTCAAACTTGTCTCGAATGGCTATGGCGCACAACGCCCACAAAGATTCCTAAGGGAGCCAAATCCCAGCCAATCCGGAGGACGCAAGTACTAAACCTTGGGTGGACCTCTGGATCAATGAGGCTGAATGGAAGGCTAGGATAAAGAAACGAGTTTGCCTACATTCCCAAAAAAGTTATCATGAAGTCCAAGATGCTATAGGCTGCTCGGAAACCTGAATCGAGCGTAGGAGGTTCATCAACACACTCTACCGCAAGGGAGTCTGAACCAATCAATGATAGTTCTCCAAAGGAACATGTACTTGACCAACAGTCCTCCCTTGAAGGCCCATCTTTTGCTGATTCCAATGCTAATGAATGTAATGTTTTGTATGTTGAGCCTCGGGAGGAGTCAGAGAAGGTTGACTTTCACTATCACCTAGAGCATTGGGCTGAGATGAAACAACAACATGCTCAAGTGACAGTAAAGTTGATTTTTTTCAAACTTCTCATCAACCACCACTATCTTCGTGTCCTGATTGATTGTGGTGGTACGACTAACTTCATGTCACCGTAAGTTCCCATTCACGACCCATATAACAAGCTACACCCAATAAGAAATGAAGGACAATCATTTTGTAAGGGCCACCATTATTCACAAGATACGCAAAGTGGGCTTGGGAATGAAGCAAGTGGCTTTGCAGAACCCCTGCCACCACTATCTTCGTGTCTTGATTGATTGTGGTGCTACGACTAACTTCATGTCACCGTAAGTTCCCATTCACGACCCATATAACAAGCTACACCCAGTAACAAATGAAGGATAATCATTTTGTAAGGGCCACCATTATTCACGAGAGACGTAGTGGGCATGGGAATGAAGCAAGTGGCTTTGCAGAACCCTTGCCGGACTCAAGTAGGCCACAAAGAGGTTGTCTCATCTACGCATGTCGTCAAACGCACTACCTTTGACAAAGAAAAGACCATCACACACACATTGAACTTCTATGTCCTTGACAAGTGTTCCTTCGATGCAGTCCTCAGGTTGGGCTGGTTGCAGTCCCAATGCGAATGGACGGAGTGGAAGGAACCACTTTTCATGGTCAAAGATGCACAAGGGAACGAGTGTCCCGTCCTCTTGGATGAGAAGCTTGATTCCCTGATGGCCTTTCTTAATGCCATGCAATTCAGCAAGAAGTGGCGCAAGCACAACGAGGATCAACAATTGTATGTTGCCTTCGTTCGCCCTAACCCATGTGCCTACTACTTTTGCAACTAGTACTAGTTCTACTTTACCTAATGAATCTACTTCTAGCACATTTACTTCTCTACCTACCTCTAGTCCAAATGACTCTACTTCAGATTTTGTTGCCTCCATTCGTAATCTGCGACCTGATCTAGGTGATCCCTTTGTTGATCCTCCACCCGCACCGGTGTCCGGCGGCCGAAGCCAGTCGGCCACCCGAAAGCTTAGAATTATGAGTCAGTGTTGGTCTTCAAACATATTTTTCTTGTTTCCTTTATCTAACGGGGGACAAAAAAATAGGGTGCCTAAGTCAACCCCTATTGTACCCCCGTCCACTGCTTGATACTAACAATACTTCTATGGAAACGAAGATATCGATTTGTTTTATTCCTGGCATCCCTCTTATCAACTTATTTTACCCCAAAATTGTACTTCTTGTAATACTTTATCACGAACGTGCATGCGGACTTCGGCGTGGGCGACTTTGTGAGGCCGAGTCAACGACAAAACTTTGATTTTGTCGGCTATATTAATAATTAAAAATAAAATAATGAATGATAAAACGAAATCGAGTTTATAAGATTTTTTCCTGCTTCCTTATTTTTGTGTCGGATTATGTTTCCTTGTGTTGACGCCCCGACTCACAGTATTTTGCTATCCCTTTTACGACCGTTATTTTTGTGTGCACGCGACCCTCTTATTTTTATGCTTACAGGTTTATCGACGACCGCACGAGGCTGGATGTTTTTGCGGGTCGGTACTTCGGGCTGCACACGAGCTACGAGGTTGGCACTTTCGCCCTCATACAAAATGGCATGGTTTGTGTGAGAGAGACACGACAATTGGTCCAGCGGCTTAGATTTTGGTTATTGCGTTGTTCTTGAGGCCAAGATTTGGTTGCTGAAGTTGGTTCTAATTTGGTTGAGACTCACAATGGTTTGTAAGGGCAACGGTGCAGCTACGGCAGGTTACCGTGACAAGCTGATTTCAACTCCAAGGTTGTTGAAGGACTACTCGAGCATTGTTGTGGGTTCTACTGCCTCCGCTGGTCCAGTATCGGTACCCCTGGACCGTTGGTCTTAAACCCTTGGTGCCGTCGCTGTCCCAGGACTGTAGCCCTGGTATTGCTCATACCGGTGATCCCAGTTCCTTTTGAGGCTTGTGCTACAGGCTGGATATAGAGCAGACCAGCGGGACTGAGGGGACATTAATTGGGGTTCGAGGCAGACAACCGGGACCGAGACGAAGAGGGAGGTGACCAAGGTCAACTGGAGTTGTTCCTCGCCCCTTCGAGAGGGCAAGCGGACCACCACCATGGCTGAATGTGCGTTCTTGCAAGAACGCTAGGTGCAGTTCTCAGCAATCAAGCGGACCACCACCATAGATACTATGATCACACTGGGTCAAGACATTGAGGGGGCTACTGCTTCTCCCACTTCAGCCAGAATCATCATCACTGCAAATAGGTGTGAAACAGCCTTAGCACTGGAGCAACAACAACGAGAGCAACTTTCACAATCAAGCCCCTGAGTGAGTGATGCACTTCGTCCGTGAATTTTTACCGATGAGTGTACTAGGCGCAACTATGATTACACTGGAACAAGACACGGAGAGGGCTACTTCCTCTTGCTTCACACTGACTCTGCCATCACTCATGTGAATGTGAAACAGCCTTGCCCGTCGATGGAAGGAGCAATTGTATGCGAGCATAACAAAGCATCGAGGAAAGGACGCTTGTGAAGGATCAACGAGACTACCCACCTAGCGCGAGGGCTGAGCTACATTCCCAATGTCAAAGCTCTCTCGCTCGTTGGCCCACCCCCATCCATCTCAAAGCACTAGGTGGGGGTGGACTCTGTGACGAGTGGCTCCGTGCCCTGAGCATGCGCGTGGGCGGAGCCGAGCCAATTGGGACCCGCTCAAGGGTCGACTCAGGCTCAAAAGTCTAACAGGGTGGGCCCCTACACTGGTATATATATCCAAAGTCATCGGCCCTCCCTGCCCACATCCCCCACGTCGCCCTATTTTTTTTTTTTTTTTTTTTTTTTTTGAATGGTTCCTCCACAGGTTCTCCCGTGGAGATGTCGATGCTTTGTTTTCTCGGTGCCACCTCCACCTCGATACCCTCCTCCTCCTCCATCTCCTCGTCGTCTTTCTCTCTCTCTCTCTCTCTCTCTCTCTCTCTCTCTCTCTCTCTCTCGCACACACACACACACACACACACATCGGTCCTGCCTGTGCGTGCCCCCCACGCCGCTATGTTTTCCCTTTCTTTTTTTTTACGAAACGCCTTCTTTTCTTGGTGCCACCCCCTCCTCCTCCCCCGCCGTATAAGTTTGTCTCTGTTTGTCTGTCTGTCTCGCTCTCTCTCTCTCTCTCTCTCTCTCCTCATATCAACAGAGGAGCAATGGTGAACTTCGTGTCGCAGATGCTCATGCCATGGCTGATGTCCAATAATCTTGGACGCATTTGCAAGGTATCAGTGCACATTGAACGTCGTGTTGGAGATGCCCATGCAATGACGCACTTGCAAGGTAAGGACAAGGGTTGTGCACACATTTTTTTATTTTCCCGGAAAATGCCGGCATCCGGACAGAGAATCCTGACCGATCTGGATATTCAAGAATATTTGGTTTTCCGGTAGTCCAGATCAGACCCGGAGGTCCGACGTCTGGTGTCCGGTCCGGCGTAGCTATGAGATGTAGTAGATCTCGTAGTTGTAGTAGATATGATCCCAAATTTTCAAAAGCAAAAAAAAAAGGATGTGCCTATATTGCTTGCAGCTGCACCAAGAAAACCCACCAACTCTTCTCCCTTGGCTGAAAAAAGGCAGACACAACATGCAAAGCTTGCCAGTTCCCAGAGTGTTTTAGAACCAACCACTCACAGAAGCGAGGGAAAAAGAGAAAAAGGCCAAACAGAGGAAAGCGAGGAGGGAGGAACGAGCACAGAGGGCAAGGAGATGAGTTAGGCAAGGCAAGCGGGAGGAGGAGAGGGACAGGGACAGAAAAAGGGACGGAGGGGCAGAGAGAGTGAAGGAGGGAGAAAGTGGTAGAGGGAAAAAGAAAGGCCAAAGGGAAAGGGAGGAGAGAGGAACGAGCACAGAGGGTAAGGACAGGAGCTAGGCCAGGCAAGGGGGAGGGAGGAGGGGGACAGGGACAGAAGGGACGGAGGGGAAGAGAGAGTGAAGGAGGGAGAAAGTGGTAGAAGGAGGGGGAAAGGGTGGCCGTATACAACTGTAACTTTTTGCCATCTGAAGAGGGGTTGCAGGGAAAGCCTGGTGACTGGTGTTTCCTTATTTTCATTACCTGGGGAACAGCCAAACCCAACTCGCGGGCCATATCATCTATAAAGCCTGACCGAAGCTCTGTGTCAAATGTAACTGGGTCCAGCAGAGTGATATTTACAAGTATCTTCAGAGCGCATCCAGGGCAAACTAGCATCACAAGAAAAAAAAAAGAGACAGCAATAAGCACACGGAGGGAGAGGGCTTACATCGCAGACCATGCCAGAAGCCAGGAAGAACAGGAGAAACTGCCAATGAAGTGATTGCAACCAGAGTAGTGACTTATGTGCTAGGGGGTTTTCCTGGGCACCCAACTTTTGCCCAGCCAGGCATTAAAAAAAAAAAGAAAAAAAAAACGAAAGCAACACAAAAATCCGGAAAAAAAGGTGTGCAGAATTGATTGCGAACACTTTTGACTGAGCGTCACATCAGAATTCGTCACTGAATTGAAGATAAAAAAAAAAAATGACAGAATCAGACTAAGGCACCCCCCTTTAGCCCCTTTAAACCTCCAGGACCTACCGGTTCGGGCCACCGTTAACGCGGTAGCCGAACAGGCCTGCCCCTCCAAATCGGTTTGAACCCAGGGAGTACAAAAACTGCGGTAGGAACTGGTGGTTTAAGACCAATTTATATTCCCTTTCCCCCCCCTTGACAGGCAAAACTCAAAAAGAAAAGAGCCCTGATTTGGGCTCCTCTGGGCATGCGTGGAAAACACCCACCGCCCGAAAAAAAAAAAGTCAAAAAGAAATGACTCCACTTGTTCCCACACCCAGGTACCCCAGGGGTCAGACCCCCCCTCTCGCCTGGCTGTGACAATCTTCCTGGCTTCTGTGCTAATGGTAAGTGGGAAGCAGAACATACGTCAAGGAGGTTGGGCAAATCGCAACTCAGACCACATAGGATGTATGTTGCCTGAAGTTAGCGACCATCGGAAACGGGAGGGCTTGTGCTGGACATCAGAAATACTCAGGACATCAGTGCTTGTGCGAGGCTCAAGGCCTCGGTAAGCCCTACTGGGCCCTTTTTCAGCCAGAACGGCTGCCCTAAGTGAAGGCGGCCCTGCCAAGGCACGAGAGGCCTACTTTTGGCTGGGTTGGACGCAACTGGGAAATTCAGGCAGTTGTGCAGCGCCAGTTGGCTGAGGAGCCCGGGCCCTGCCTGCCTTTTTCCTCTGAGGCAGGCACTTGGCTAGACACGGGGCGTGGACTGAGCACAGGCCGCTGGCAGTTGGACACGGGTAACCACTCCACGCCCTGCGTGTGATTCCCTGGGTCAGGGTCTCAGCCACTTGGGGCCTACGGGACGCTTCTGGGCAGGGGCCCAGCACATCCAGGCAGCGTACAGCAGGCAGGCCACTTTGATAACAGAAAGTGCCTGTGCAATCAGACTCGCTTAATTTCACACTCCACATGCATGTAAACAGGTAGCGCAGCAAACTGGCGACAAGCGCCCACTCAAACTCAGAGATATGACTATGGCGCATCAGCGCCTGTACCACTCTCTGTTCGTCACTAGCCCAACTCTGCTGTTCACACACAGGATCACCCTGGATATCCCACACGCAATTCACTGTACACAACACACACACGCTACACCCTTCTCCCAGCTATGGCGGCTATGGCCGCTACTACCTCTACCGCTATGGCTAAGCTCTCCTTCGGCCCACTTCGTCTTCGGGCATACTGCAGACCACCTCACACACGTCGCTGTGACAGCGCTTCCGCATGGCTTATGCAGGAATGAATGAATGGCTGGTCGCTGCCTCTTGATTTATACTTCTGTAGCTCGTTGGTCTGCCCCTTTTCCATGCCCTGGGTGCACACAGTCCCACACGGTACTTGTTTGACCGGACCTGACTGACTGGGACTGATACCGCTGTCTGCATGGGGATGCATTGCCAACTCACCGCAGTCACACTGGCGACGTACTGCAGTTGGCCCCACCACTTGCCCACTTGCCTCTGTCTAAACGTGAGCAAGCTTCGAAAGGCCACTTCTGGACCTTCCAGAAGTTCGTAGACTTGGCCTTTCGGTACCGTAGCAGCTACGACCTTGACCTTTCAGGACGGTAGCAGCTACGACTTTGACCCTTCGGAGGAGCTACAGCTACGATTTTTAGGACCTGCTAAGACCTACAAATGACAGGTCTCCAGATCGAAACCCTACAGCTACGGACCTCGACAGACTACCAACTACTGCGAATATACAGGTCACGGGTTCAACTCTCGGGGTCGGCACAAATACTGTTCACAGGTAAAGTGAGAACTTGGGATCGAGCCCTGGGATCTGGATCTGCTACTGCCTACAGGTGAATACCGTTTCACTCCCGCCGGCCTAAATTCGAGGTCCTCCGAGAATAACTCAGTCCAAGGCAGGACCTTTACCCTTTCTTTCTCTCTCATAGGCTCTCTCTACATCGGGAGCTGATTCTAGAAGTTCAGTTCTAGTAAACCAGCGGTCGTCTCCGGGTTCCTGATAAGCAAATCGGACCTTGTACTGTTTCTGTGGACGACCACTACCTCCTGTTCTAAATACAGCTTCACCTACGATGCCTTCAATGTCATATCTCCCATCCATGTCCGGAGGGATCATGGGTCTTCTAGATGGGAACTGTTGGCTTGTGACACACGACAACAACTTGGATGCATGAAAGGTGTGGAGGTGTGCTGGGATCTCTACTGTGTAGGACGGCCCATCCTCTCCGCCCTTAACTTCTAGAACTGGCCACGGTCCTTTATATGCGGGCAGTAACTTCTGCGAGATGTTTTCCTCAGGAGCAAACTCTTTAGACTTGACCCAGACCAGGTCGCCTTCTTGAAACTGCGACGGGCAACGGTGCTTGTTAGCCTGTTCTATCATTCGGTGCTGGGCCTTCCTGAGGTTCTCTACAACGGTAGCTAACTCCTCCTCGTGTTGTATTGCAAACTCTCTAGTACCGGGCGGTAGCCTGTGACTCTGGTCCCGGTTAAGTCCCTCAAACGGTCTGCACGGTCTAAAGGACTTGTGCAGCTCATTGGGAGTGCGACACGTGGCCAGGTGCACGCTGTTATTATAGGCACTGGCTACCTTGGGCAACATCTCATCCCAATTGACTTGATCGGGTCCAATGTGCATGCGCAGAACTTGTTGCAGGATCTTATTCATCTGTTCGGTCTACCCGTTAGTCTTTGGGTGTCGGTCAGACGACATTAACAACTTTGACCCATAGACTTTCATAAGTTCCTGCCTGTTCTGACTAGTGAACCGGGTGCCTCTATCGCTAACTATAGACAATGGAATCCCGTGATCGCTAACCCAATGGTAAAAAAACTTCTGAATTACTAACTCAGTGTGTGCCTCTGCAGGCAAAGGAACAAAAACTGCATATTTGCTAAATCTATCAACTATCACCATGACTTGGCTTTTTCCATGTCGGCTTTTAACACCACCATCTAGGAAGTCGATGGAGACTAAATCTCTAGGCTGGGCAGGGATAGGCAAGGGTCGAAGAACACCTAGAGAGGCACGCGTAGTTGTCTTGTTTCTTTGGAAGACTTTGCAACTGTGAACATACTCTATGCAATCAGCTTTCATCCCTGGCCATGTATACGCCTGCATCAAATTGGCTAAAGTCTTTTGGCAACCGAAATGTCCCTCTATATCATGGCATTCCCCTAGGATCAGGCTACGGATCTCCTCACTATTGGGAACGCATAGACGGTCCACTACATTGTTCTTCTCGAATAATAGTCCCTTTGTAGTGCGGTAATGTGGTTCAGTCTCTGGGGCCTCCTTAACTCGCTTGAGGAGGTCGCTATAGATAGGGTCTTGTGGATACGCCTGCCTTACTTTCTTTTGCAGGTCTGTCCCTATATCCAGACAGTGGATTATGGCTCCAAAGTAGTCTGATCTCCTACTTAGAGCATCCACAACTACATTGTACTTGCCTTTGACCGGTTTGAGCTCAAAGTCATACTGATCTATCTCAGCGGCCCACCTAGTCAACTTAGGTGTCATTTTGTGTCTTCAGCCACCTAAGAGTCTCGTGGTCTGAATACACTTTAAAGTGCCTCCCAAGCAGGTAATGCTTCCAGTGCTCTAGGGCCTGCCTGAGAGCGTAGAGTTCTCTCTCATATGTCGAGGTAGCCACCTTCTCTGAGGGCATCCTTGCTGACATGAACTCTACGAGTCTGTAGCTATTGCCGTCGTCTTGCTGTAACACAGCGCCTATACCATACTGACTCGCGTCCGTGGTAACGACAAACGGCAAGGACGAACCTGCTACTTTGAGGACAGGATACTCTATCAACGCTCGCTTTAGCTTCTTGAGCGCGTACGTACAGTCTTTGTCCCAATGCCAGCTTCCTTCTTTCTTTAGTAACCGGCGAGGGGAGCGGCGATAGTCAAAACGTTCCTCACAAACTTCCTATAGTAGTTAACTAGGCCTAGGAGCGACCGCAACTCCGTAAGTGTGCGGGCGTCAGCCAATCTCTAATCGCCACTATTTTGCTGTCCTCAGGCTTAATGCCATCTCCGTCTAGAACGTGGCCCAAGTACAAGATTTGTGTCCTGGCCCACTCGCACTTCTTCGCGTTGATCTTGAAGTTAGCCTCTCTCAGCTTCTCGAAGACTTGCCTCAAATGACCCTGGTGCTCTTGGAGGGTCCTTCTAAATACTAGGATGTCGTCTAAGTAAACTACGACGAACCTATCTAACCAAGGCCTAAACAAATCATTCATACGTCGCTGAAATGTAGCTGGCGCATTGGTCAGTCCAAAGAGCATCACTACAAACTCATAATGCCCATATCTCGTTTGGAAGGCAGTTTTGTACTGGTCATCAAGATGGACCTCTATCTGATGATATCCGGACTTTAAGTCTATCTCAAGAAATACTTGCAACCCTGCACCCGATCTAAAAGATCATCTATCCTGGGCAGCGGTTCAGCATTCTTTACTGTGATCGCATTCAAACCCCTATAATCTATACACATGCGTAACTCTCCCTCCTTTTGAGGGACAAATAATACTGGCGCTCCAAAAGGAGACGAACTGGTCATAATCCAACCTTTTTCTAGGAGCTCGACTAACTGCTTTTGCAGCTCCTCTAACTCCCTTGGGGACATCCTGTAGACTCCTCCCTTAGGAGTCCTACTGCAAGGCTCTATCT